ATACACTGCAATCAAAGCTCAAGGAGCCCGGAGAGTCAGATATCCCTGAAAGAGAAAAACGTTCTTATTTTTCTCAGAATGAGAGGCCATTAGTTCATAACCCAGTTGCCAGTCATGGATTCCATGCTTGTTGCTTCCCTCTCCCCACCTCCCTTCCACCTTTCATGACACCGAAACATCTCAATGAGCATATGGGTGAACTAATGGAGAAACACTGCTACAATGATTCATTTTAACCACTAGATCACTGTAGGTCAGAAAACCTTGATTTTATCTTTAACTCTGCACACTCTTGCATGAAAGGGCATTCCACAACTCTTGGTTATCCTTCTACAGATAAACAGAGGTAACAATGTGTGCCCAGATGTACACTCCATCCTTTGTAGGAAGAAGTAACGTGATCTGAGTGACTGCCCACTAGTGTAGTGAAACGCATTATTAAGCCAAAGGCAACTCTGCATTGGCCAGCACTGGTGGTTATCAGAACTACAGCATCAGGTAAGACTAGCCCAGGCCCCTCAGATGAAGCAGCAGGGAAAGCCAGGTGCCCACAACCCAAAGTGAACCAGTTGGGTCACAGGCCTGAAACTAACTACTGCTCTCAAAGACTGGTAGATTATTATATAGACCAGGGATATCAAACTCATCTGGGCCATGATATGGGGCCAGTTCATAGGCCAGATTGTGCCCATGGACCCCTCCCTTTCTCTCTGCCTCAGTATACCTGATCCAGGGGCTGCAGCAGCCAGTCTGGGACCTGCTTTATATATGACCCAGATCCCAGAGCAGATGCAGTAGAGGGTGCAGTCTGGCCAGAGTGGTAGCCATGCTACACATGGCTGCTACCCCAAGCTGGACTGCGTTGCATACAGAGCCTGCCCCAGCAGCTCCAAAACTGTACTGCATGCAGTGTCTGCTCCAGCCATTCCAGGACCTGCACTGCACACATCACTTGTGAACACTGCATTCAGCGCAGATCCCAGACTGGCTAGGGCAGGCACCATGAAACACAGGCTGGGCAGTCCTGGTGTGCAGAGGCTGGGCAGAGGTAGTACAGGACCCCAATCCAGGTGCAAAAGGGTAGCAGAGAGCCTGATGCACAGGGTCCAGTGCAGCCCACAGACCAGCCCTGTGCCATTCAGTCCGGTCCATGGAGCCAAAACATTTTGCACCACTCTTCTAGACATTATGGAGGATCTACCGCATCAGATCATATGCCCGCTAGTCAGAGAGGAAATCAAATGCAACTCCTTCAAATAGGCTTAGTCAGTAGATGCTGCACCATCTCTCACAACACTGGAGTTTATGCTGTGAATGTCTTTTCATTAAGACCATATTCAATACACACATAGTTTTCAGGTTCTCCTATGGTAATTTTACAAAAAGCCTGAGAAAAATGCAATTTTATAATTGCTTTCGAATGACATCTCACTTTTTTTTTTTTTTTTACACAAGGTATCGAGTCCTCCATAATATTCTAGTACCCAGACCCAGTCATAAATTTAGGACCTCACACTGATAGGAGCAATACAAATACAAAACAAAAGTGCCCCTGATGCAAAAAGCCTAGTGTTTACCTGCAAAAGAACAGATGATACAGATAGAGGGGGAGGATAAAAGTCCAAAGACAACAAAAACAGCACTGATCACCGAGGGCACTTTTACACTTGCTCCAGGGAATGAGGGGTGGAGATTCAATTAGAGTGGCTCTCATGCAGCAGCTTCCTCGTGTTTAAAAATGATGGCCCCTCCCCATTCCATGAGCTTCAGTTCAAGTGCCCCCACCACCATTTTTAAGCACAGAGACACTGGTACACGAGATCTAGGAAGCTGCTGCATGAGAGCAATTGCCATGCTCCAGCAATCTCAATTAAATCAAGTCTGCTCCAACATGATGGAATTTGTGTATAGGTGCCTCAAGGGCACAGACAGAAGTGACAATTTTTACCTGATCTGGCCACAGAAAGCAATTTATATCTGTGACCAAACACAAAAATGTATGACTGCATACAGCTTCAAAAGTGGCTGACTGGATGAAAATCTGACCCCTCATTGCACAAGGGATCAGATGACGACATTTCAAAACAAAATGTATACTGTAACGTGTGTCTGCACTGCCTGCCACCCTCCAGCTGTTTTCAGAATGGGAGGGGAAATAGGGAGGGGAGAGAGTTTGGTGTGGGGAGTTTTCTGCCCCTTCTGGAGGCTGCGGAGGGTGAGGCAGAGGGCTCCAATTCACCCACCCCACCTCCAGCGCTAGCTAGGGAACCCCTAGAATGAGCTCCCTCTGCTCCCTCCCAGCCTGTCTGTTTCAGAGTGGGAGGAGGAAAGGGAGGAGGGGTCACTGCTACAGGAAACCTGCTGCAGCCTGGTAGTCAGCAGCTAGATTCCCCTCCCCCTGGAACCAACAGTGAACTTCTGTTTGGTCCGAGGGATGGTTGCAACTCATAATGCTTCCCCGCAAAGTCTTTCTAGTTAGAGGGGAGCTGCACTTCTGTCTGTACCCCAGAAGCACCAATGAAAGTCCTAAGGAGATCAATACATAGCATTAATATCGCACACTTCCCACCTACAGATAGAAATCACACGCACAATACTTACTCTACTTTAAAGAATAGGAAATTAAAGCAAAGGGAAAAGGTTAAGTGCCAAAAAGGTCACGCATTACTGGCAGAGGATCAAGATCTTACATACAACTCGGACCAATGCCTAATTCAGTGGGTCATCCAAACATCATATTAAAGAGTATGAATGTCATACATACAAATATTGGTCATTTGATGTCCTTAACGTCATTTCTAGCTTCTGGATTTTTCTACACATACAAAGAACAGCACCCCACAAACACACAGAAACAACCCCCCCCCCCCAAAAGACTAGACATTCCCTTGAAGTACCTTTATTTTAAATTACTTGGTTGTAGGACATATGCAGTCCTAGCAGCAGTCTGAAATGCAACATTTCACCCAACAGAGATTCAAAAAAATTATTCAACATTTGTATCTGTGTCAAAGGCCAGAAGGTCATTTTTGGTCTACTAGTACACTAGCGGTAAAATGAGCCACTGAGTGAATTTCAAGGGGAAAGGGTTAATAGCCCATACAGAAGGGTGAGATGGAGTAGGTTGAGCTAAATCCATTAGCGGTGACAAATAAAAATAGAAATAAAGAAGAACTGACAAAAGCTAATGGGTATGCGCTGATTTTTCTTCTGTTTATTTAATGTAGGATCTTTTTTGCTCAATATTTAATATTGTTTCACCCACCCAACCTGAAATGGGAAAGCAGGTATGCTGATGAATGGTTTGAAAAGCTGTCTAGCTTACTGTTTTTCAAGTGCTTCTGTAGGCTTTACTGAAATACAGTTTTGTGAGCTTCCATAAGCAACACTCAGGAGAGTAACAGATCAGTCCCATACAAAAGCAACACATTAGGTGGAATCCATCTCTTCAGTAGCAAACAACTCAGCATCAGAAAGCAGCTTACTTCAAGATAAGTACTCTCTGTACCAATGTAAAGGAGGTACTCCACTTTAATTTTTGGCTAAGTGTTACAGCAAGTTAAAAAATAACTCCATGTGTTCTCTTGCAGGATCATAGGACAGTCAGGCTGCAAGGAACTACACCAGGTTATCTAATCCAAACCCCTGCTCAAGTCAGGATCATCCCTAACTAAACCTTCACAGCCAAGTATCAATCTAACCAGCTCTTGAAAATTTCCAGAGACGGAGATTCCACAAGTTCTCATGGTAGTCTGCTCCTATACTCGACTGCCTTCAAAGTCAGAAAGTTCCTCCTAATCTGCAACCTAAATTTCCTCAGCTGCAACTTCACAGTTTCTAGGGTCGGAAGGGACCTGAGAAGATCATCTAGTCTGACCCCCTGCCATGGCAGGAAAGAGTACTGGGGTTAAACGACCCCAGCAAGGTGTTCATCTAACCTCTTCTTAAAAATCCCCAGGGTAGGAGCCTGCACCTCCCTTGGAAGTTGGTTCCAGACCCTAGCTGCCCTGACCATGG